CCTTTGCCTCCTAGCTCTTTCCTCTATTTCCTTTGACTTTCCTCTTGTCCCACTACATTGCTCAGTCTTCATTTGGGATTCAGTAATTCCTCTTAGTTACAATACCCTTGATCAAGCTCTACCAGGCCTCCTACACCCTCCTCACCACCGATTTGGATCACTTTTTGTTCCCTTGTCCCTGGATTTGTTAACACCACTTCCTTTCCCCTCACCTCCCCTTCTCCCTGGTCCCCCCTGAACTGTTGGTTCTATTCTTTTCTCCTCCAGGTTCTTCATTCAGCCTATCTTATTTAGATAGACCTGTGGAGATAATAACATGCACAAAAACAAGACAGAGCAGCCCAACCCCATCCGAAACCATAAATAGACCAGATGGACTTACTTGTCCGGTAGAGACCAGGCCGGTGCAGGCCCGAGACCACGAGCCCTGGTCAGCTCTCAAACCTGGAACAGAACTCACCCCCACGACTCACTTTGCAGTCAAACAACAGAGAGGCTGACAAGATGACCAGTCACACCTACAGCTGCTCCTAAGAGCCCTCAGCCCTCAGCCCTCAGGGACCAAACAAGCGGCTATGCTCAAAACACGAGGTTCACTAGGCAGGCAGGAAGGGGGCAGGCAAGAGGGGGGGGTGTCAGGTGGGGATCCCAGGGAGAAGGGGAAAACAGCCATGAAGCAGAATGTGTACACACTGTTCGGTGGGAAATGGATTTGCTCTGTATGCTCCCACTCCGAGTCCAGTATTTGAAATTAAGCCAATAAACACAGGGAGGAAGAAAAAAACAAGACAGAGCAAAACCAAGGAACAAAAGATAACAAAACAACAACAGCACCAACAAGCCAATGACACAAAAAAGAACATAACAAGAAAGAAAAGCTTGTAGTTAGTTCAAGGACTGTTTGTTGGCCAATAAATAACTTTTTTATGTTACCTCTTAATATTCTTATGAAGAGTGGAATAACATTTGAAAATACAGCGATCAGTCTCTTCTGTTGTATGGTTTGCTGATTTATTTTCACTCTATGGTGAGGTGTCTACTACTTTTGGTTTTAGGAGCTGTGGATCTGGATGCCTTAACAGATGAGAAAGAAAGAAAAGCCTTAGAAGGCATGATTAATAATTTCGGACAAACACCTTGTCAGCTGTTAAAGGTAAATTATACATGTTGTTGGTAACATAAAAAGCCTAGAATTGAATTGCTAAGAAATTGTACTACCAGTGTTTTTAAGGGTACTGTCTTTAAAAATTTTAATCCAAAATTATCCAGAATTTGGGGAAAATAATAACATCATTTAAAAATAAATGGATTTAGTTGATTTTTTTCCTAATTTGAAATACCGTTTTATAGTGAAAGTCTACGTGTATATATAATTATTTCACATTAGGATTTATATTTACTCAGAAAGCCTTATTTTACTATTTCTGAGAGAGGAAAACATAAGGTCCTTTCAGAAGTTAAAGATTCAGCTAAATTATTAATCTTAAATTTGGAGTAATATATTAAATTTTACCAAATATTTAAATGTTTACCATTCTTAAGATATTATTCTGGGTGTTGGAAAACCAAAAATTAGAAATATATGATCTGTGAATTTAAGGTACCTATTTGTTTTATTGGAACAGGCAGATAACAGATGATTCATAATTTAATAGAAATAACTGTTAAAGAAATATTAAGTACAGTGTTAGGCTGAAAAAAATTATCAAAGGGAAAAATGTATTCTGATTTATAAATTCCGGATGTGTAGTCATGTGAAAGGAATCCTGGTGGCACCCTGGGTTAAGCATTGGGCTGCTACCTAGAAAGTCAGCAGTTAAAACCTACTGACTGCTCTGAGGAAAGAGGAAGCTGTTTGCTTCCGTAGAGAGGTACAGCTCCAGAACCCCAAGGAGCAGTTCGACTCTGCCTTTGAGGGCTGCTATGAGTCAGAATCCACTCAGTGGCAGTGGGTCTGTTTTTCCGTTGGTTCTCAGAATGGAGCGCTATACATTGAGGAGGATGGGAACTCTGGTGAGGGATGGTCTGAACAAACGGACAGAGCCATCCGAGTGCATTGCCTGTCTTGTAGCTGTAGGCCTGTATGCTTGAAGAAATAGAAACAGAGATGCTTTCATCTGATTGTGGAATTGCTTTTTCCTAAAATTATTTTGAAGGAACCACATCCTCCTAGATTATCAGCAGACGAAGCATTGCAAAAGCAGACCAGAACAGACACATCAACCCTTAACTTGTTTCAGCACCTCCCTGAACTCAAGTCATTTTTTATAGAGGTAATATGCAACTTGGTAACATCACTAAGCTTTCTCTCTGAATCCTGATTAACTTAAAGTTCATTTTATTCTGTGAAGGTAAGTGAGGAGTATAGTACTTAAAACAAAATAGTAATTAATACCTCAATCTATTTTTGGATATTTAAAACTATTTTCTTAAAAGATTTTGTTTACTGTTTAAACTGTTCCTTTAGTTTTCTTTCTCCTACTTCTCATTTCCCTGAGATGAAAAGAAAAATAAATTTATTCAAAATACATATTGTGCCTCAAAAACTATCATACAGCCACAGTAATCAAAACATCCTGGTACTGGTACAGTGACAGGTACATAGACCAATGGAACAGAATAGAAAACCCAGAAATATGTACATTCATCCACCTACTGATAACTGATCTTTAACGAAGGGCAAAAACAGAATATTAATGGAACAAGGCAGTCTCTTCAACAAATGGTACTTGCAAAATTAGATCTATGTGCAGAATAATGAGATAGGACTCAGACCTTACCCCATCTACAAAAATGAACTCAAAAGCAATCAGACTCAAATGTAAATCCCAGAGCTATAAAGATCGTAATGAGAAGTTAGAGATAGGCTCAAGGAACCTTTTACTGGGTGAAGACGTACTATCAGAAGTAGCAGAAGAAGCACACAGAGTAGAAGACAAAATAACTGGGACCTGCTGAAAAATAAGACATTTATATGCATCAGAAGACGTCACCAAAAGAGTAAAACGAGAGCCCACCAATTGGGGAAAAATCTTTAACAATGACACAGTAGGCAACGGACTAATTTTTAAAATCTATGGAATACTGTAATACCTCAGTAAGGGGGTAAAAATCCAGTTAAAGAATGGGCAAAAATATTTACAGATAATGAAAAAATTATGTTCAAAGGGCTAAGAGCACATGAAGAAATGCTCATGATCACTAGTCATCTGGAAGATATAAATCAGAACAATGAGATACCACCTTATACCCACAACGATAGATCACCCAATCCAAAAAAATAGAAAACAACAAATGCTGGTGGGGATGTGGAAGGATTGGAGCTCTCATACATTGGTGGACCTATAAATATGTACAACCACTGTAGAAGGCGATATGGTGCTACCAAAAACAGTGGGAATAGAAATTCTATACGTTACAGTAATATGTCTGCTGGTTACATACCCTAAAGAAGTAAGGGACATAACACGAACAGACCTATGTTCATTAGAGCACTATTCACAATAGTTCATTTACTGCCATCAAATCGATGACATAATGACCCTATAGGCACAGGGTAGAACTGCCTCTCTGCATTTCCGAGACTAACACTTTACAGGAGTAAAAAGCCTTGTCTACTGGTTTCAAACTGCTGGCCTTAGGGTTAGCAGCTCAATACAGAGCCACTATGCCACCAAGACTCCACAATAGCAAGAAGTTCAAACTATCCTAAAAAGCCCATCAGTAGAAGAATATAGAAACTTTGGTATATGCACACAATGGAATACAATGCATCATTAAAAATTATGAAATCAGAAATTACCTCAGGACATAAATGGAACTGGAGAACATTATGCCAAGTGAAGTTAGTCAGTCACGAAAGGACACATGTCTGAGCCAGCTACCATAAAGATGAAAATGAAGACAAAGACTGGCATACCAAAGGAGCTTCTCAAGGGTGGGAGGGCAAGGGTGGAAGGATGCACACATGGCCCAGAAGGTTGACAAGTCTACAGTCTGGGAGTAAAAGGATGGAAGCCCGTAAGAGAGAAGAGAAGTCATGGGGGACAGGGGATAGAATACAGGGGTAGGGGTTGATGCATGGTTTGAACTGGTGAATTCAGAGTTGATAGTCTGAAGTGTAAACACTGCACCTAATCCATATTAAAACAACAACAACACATTGTTAATTGATGGTATATAGATGAAACCTAAATTAGTGCTTTTTTTTTAAAAGTCATTTTATTGGGGGCGCCTACAACTCATCACAATCCATACATCCATCCATTGTATGTCAAGCACATTTGTACATTTATTACCCTCATCATTCTCAAAACATTTGTTTTCTGCTTAAATCATTGGTATCAGCTTCTCATCCCCCCTCCCATGTGCCCTTGATAATTTATAAATTACTGTATTATTATTTTGTCATATCTTACACTGTCCAATGTCTCCCTTCACCTACTTCCCTGTTGTCTGTCCCTCAGGGAGGAGGTTATATGTAGATCCTTATCACCGGTTCCCCCTTTCTACCCCACCTTCCCTCTACCCTCTGGCCTTGAAGGGATCATCTCTCCTGGATTCCCTGTGTTTCCAGTTCCTTTCTGTACGAGTGTACATCCTCTGGGCTAGCCGGATTTATAAGGTAGAATTCAGATCATGATGGTGGGGGGCTAGTGCTTATTTTTAAAAGTCTGTTCATATATTTGAATTTACATATTGATTTCCTTTGAATACTTCATAGCTATGAGTATGGTTAGAATAGACCATATGAAATCTCAGGCCAAAAATAAAAAGAAGGAAGCCATTATTTGCAGACATGAGCAGGACAAACATGGATATATTGCAGTAGAACAGGTGCCGGTAAATACGTCAAGATCAGGGAGTAAGGATTTTCAGGTTTATTGACTGAGGCTAAATGGAGAATATTATGTAAATACAGTTGTAACCATAAAATATAATTAAATACACATCATACAAGGCAAGCAATTAGCTGAATTTTCCTCACAGAGTTTGAACAGACTGTAAGGTTGTTATTGGGGGCTGTTCATGTAAGCATCCTGTACCTGAGTACAGTGTTTCCCAAAGTGGGTGGCCTTTGGAGGATGCTGGAAAGGGAAAACTGTACTTTCATGGATTGTGGATATAGTACAAGAGTTTTTAATTGCCAGGGGCAACATTGAGTAATGACTTTTCTAAATATTGTGTGATAGGCCAACTGTGGTAAGTTTGGGAACCTATGGTCTAGCACTTATCAAAATTTCTCCCAGCACATACCATATGTACTCCCGAGAGAAAAGTAAGTGATCAGTATAAATCAGATGTGTGCACAGTCTACATGCAGTGAGCTACCCTATCTTTCAGGAGAAGTTTTATTTCAGTGTAGCTCACTTTACTAGCCATGGATTTCTAGAGACCAGCCAAGGACCAACAGTCAAAGCTGGCCTTTCTAAGGATAGTTGTCCCAAACCTGCTATGGTAACTTTTATGTACAGGACAACTCAGAAAACTCTATTTAACCCATATTCTGATGGAGATGTAATGCTGTATTTATGTGTGACGCCTATAGAAATCTTTCTGTTGGTCTAAACAGTTAGGGAATTGTTTTTATAAGATAATGCAGTCTGAATCCTGTTGAGCAGTGCAGTGGCATGTTTCTCCCTTCTGTGTCCACCATCAGAGAAAGATAACCATATCTCCTCCCATAAAGCCTCAGAAACTCTTTCTAGGGTCCTTATGAATGGGAATCAAGTCAATGTCAGTGGGCTTGGCTTAGTCTGGTACCCACAGTGTCAGAGTAACTTTCTCCAGAACCAGTATCTGGAGCAGCTGGAAGAACATGACAGATTTCCTGTTGTACTGGTAACTTAGCTCTTTTCATTCTCAGAAGTGAAGGTCTTTTGCCGTCCATGCATACAAAAAGAGGACAGGTCATCTGTTCTTAGGGCAAAGATGGAGGTAGCAGTGAAAGCAAGGTCTTGATACGTGTACTTCTTCAGGCACCATTTTCATTTACGCTTTTGTGAATATTTAAGTCGTTTGATATTTTGTATGCTTCGTTGCTGAGTTATCTGATGTAAAGCTCTTAGAGTATCGCCTAGCACCTAGCATGCATCCAGCAATGTTAGGCTATCTTTATGATGAATGATTCCTTATTGAATCAGTTGATATAAAGCTTCCAGAACAGTGCCTGGAACATAGTACAAGTCTAATGTTAGGTTATATTTACCATGAACGTTAGCTATCCTGTATGAACTGCTACTACGTCAAGAAACAGTTCGAGCACTTGAAGATAGATATTTGGGTCATATTGCTATGTATAGATAGAAAGGAAGGATGGTCGTTCGGTAGGTAAGGGGAGGGAGAAGGGTAGATTAATTTTTTTCACATTATAATTAGTTCATGATGGATATTTTCGAGGACCATCTCCCCCCCCCCCCCCCCCCACATACACACCGCTGTCTTATTTTTGTGGCTTTAAAGTTAGGTAAAAATTAGAGCCAAAAGGAAATTTTTATAAAATATAACCAATCTTCCCAATTTGACTTATTTCAGAAATGAACTACATGGTATTTACTCATGTCAGTGTAGCAAGGGACAAAGGAAAGATCCTAAATCATGGACTGTTTTTAATAGTTGAGAGAAAGCCAAGATTTTCTGCTCAGGTACAGAGACAGTCTCGGAGCCCACAGCGGCAGTTCTGCTCTGCTCTGTAGGGTCACTGAATCAGCATCAGCTCGATGGCAGTGAGTTTATATGGCTGGTGCTCCTTGAAATCTGCCTGTCTCTCTAAAAGTAGAGCGGTGGCATAGAATGTGGTGTTGAAATTCAGAAGTTCCCAATATGTCATACAAACATAGTATATAATTTCTTTCTTACATTTTAAATTATATCTTTCAATAAAGTGCTGTATCACAGGGCTTACCCTTGTTTGAAAAAATTGAAGATTTCATTAATGTTTGCTTAATACAGATGGACAGAACCAGTTACTAAATCTCTGTCTTTCATTTTTAGGGAATTAGTGATGGTATCCCACTAATCAAGGCCATTGTTCCCAAAAATCAGTCTCGTTCTTTTATGTCTCAGGGCAGCCCTGAGTTACTGGTAAGTGTGCTTTCTTATACTGCCATGTCTGTATCCATAACAACCCACAAAAATCTTGAGGAAGTAAAGATTTTTAAAAGGCCATTTAAAAATTACAAGGTTTACTAGAGTTATTTTGAGTAAGACAACATTTATAGTATTTACAGTTTTTATTTTAAGTAAATATTGTCATTCTAAACTTTTTCTGGAAGAATGAACATGTGAAAATATCCAGGAAAATTTTGAAGTTGAAAAATAGAGGTACATTATACCAGATATTAAATTTTATCATAAAGCTGTAATAATAATGATGAGAAAGAATAGAGAACTGAAGAAAGTATACATGCAGGGCACTTTAAGAGTACTTTATCTGAATGTTGCCATTTAGTATACAAAATCATCCTATGAGAAAGGCACGGTTATTATTTCCCTTCTATAGATATGGAATGAAGAGACGTGGCATGCCCAAGGCCAGTGAGCTAGTACTAGTAAGTAAAGGACCTGGGACGTAGCACATGGGTCCAACCTAGGTCTGCCTTACTCTCATTTTGTCTCTTAGAAAATACAGTAGCACACTAAACAGCGAGTTCCCAAAGTTAGACCTAAATTGTGAGCTTTCATAGGGGCAAAAGAAATATATAAACATCAGGATTTTTTGATTGGTGGGATTTTTTATTTTAATACTCATTTTAAAAAATTATCTGGGAGATGTATTTGGCAGCTTGTTCCTTTCACAATGGAGTGAATGGAGCAGCTGTTTCTTTGGAAAAGATCATATTTTCTTT